TCTTTCGAAATTCGTCCTTTTTATCAAAAATCCTGTCCTTTTCAATAAAAATATTTGTCCTTTTTAAAACAATTCTCCATCACTTTTTATGATTTTCATCCTTTTTATTAAAAATCTTGTCCTTTTAAAATAAAACCTGTCATTTTTAAACTATTTTCCCATCATTTTCAGACGTATTTTCACTGTATCATTCAATTAATTAACAGATCAGTTCCAAAATTGCAACATGTTAAAAATACGACATCTAGATTATTTTTAGAAATACGAACTGGAATGAAACAATTTTTAATTATTACACAAAAACTTTTTTCGATCAAAACGAATAACTTCAAAACAACACAAATAACCTCTTACAACACAGAAATAATTTCTGACTTCTTTTGATTTCTTAGAACCACACTCTTAGATCCACTTTATCATAAAATTGAATATTTTACTTGGTTGTTTTCGATGTTTACAAACCAACTTATCTTTTGTAATTTGCGAATTAATATTCAAACTGACACACTTTTTTGAATAAATTTCTTCATATTTCATAATACATCACAAAAATACCAATAAGGATAATTAAAAAGCAACTCGTCAAGTACATAATACTTTTAAGAAAGAAAACAAATTGGATAATATTTTGTATATGAGTAAATAATGATGTTTTGATTTTGTAGAAAATCATATATCATCTGGTTTGATTTTTAAATTATTTGATTGAAATTACATAATTACTGATGATGTTGTGATGAAAGTGTAATAATGTTGATCATTAATGTATATGGTGAGTATGGCCATTAATACAATTATCATTGGCAATCAACTAATTGTTGTTTACCATATATTCCTTTTTGGAATATGAAAATAAAGTGAAGACGACTTAAATAGTCATTTATGACTTTATTTTTTGTTTATGAGAATAAAATACAGAAACATTTGTTTATGGGTTTTTGATTTTTTAAAGCGAGTATTTAATGGATAAAAAGATGGGAATTCCAATGAAAACAAGAAAAAATAATCATGCAAATAAGTTTAATTTATTCAACTGGACTAATATATTTTTATGTTTCGTATTATATATATCATAAATAATTCGGTCTTTTCAAAATTATTGGAAAAAATCAATACATTTGATATGTTTGTGTGCTCTAATTCTGGTAAATATTTTAAACTTTCTCTTGTGTAAAGTTTTTGTTTTTAAAAACAAAAACATTTTTAATGATATTTTGGCATATAAAAACACAATAAACACATTAAAGTTTACAAAAAACATATCAATTGTTGTCGAATAAAATAAATTAATTATATTGATTATTTATCACACAAAATAAAAATGCTGTATTACATCAACTAATACAATTAATGAAAGAACTATCATTATCACAAAAATTGATCAATGTTTGTTGTTAAGAGATTCATTTTTAATCATTAAATATTCAAAACATAAATATTAACCAGGAATAAGTAAGTATACATATAAGTATTATAACGTGTATATGATTTAAAAAGTTTTTCAATTTAAGATAAATAAATCAAAAAAATCAAAGTATAACTTGTTTATAAATTATCATTATACAATTTGAAGCTTGGATGTTTTGAAAGTTTGGTTCTACTTACTACGTATCAATGTAGTGTTCTCTTGATTAAAAAAAATAGTTATAAATTATTAATTAATAATAAAAACAACACTATATCTATTATTTGTAATTAAGTTGTTAAACATTTTAAACTTTTTCAAAAACATTGACAATAACAAATTGATTTGATGTGTTTGACTTGTCAAATTTGATTTATCACAACATTTTTTCAAAAAGATCACATTAAACTTTATAAACTTGTTGATTGTTATTAATTAATCTGATAAAAATACAATAAACACATTTTTAATATGGTTTCATATTTAAGAAACCACACTCAACTCAGATAAAAAATAAATATTGTGTTAAAATTAAATTATATTTACTTATTGAGTAAAAATACAACTTCATTTGAAATTTGTTGGACCAAACACAAATTTAAGTAACACCCCTTTATTATATTTATACAATTTAAAATTGGTATTGATAATAAACAGGTTTATTCAAAAATAAGTATATTAAAACAAAAAACAACAAATTCAAATACAACTATTTAATGAAATTAAATAACCACATAACTTAACAAAAAATGTTATATAATCATAGGTGAAGAAATAATGTTTATTATTATATATATTAATAAACAATAGAATAAAATCAATGTACAGTCAAAAACGTCTAAATGTTGTGAATATAAATGTTGAACTTATTATTTGTTGCACAAATAAATAGCCAATCATTTCAATGTACGACAATTGAATATTTTGTTTTTGAACATGTAACTTTTGTTGAATTAAAAACAATTTTTTTAATAAAAATGAACTTTAATAATAAAAAGATTTTTGTACAAAATTCACTCATTTACGACAAATAAATATGTTTTTTGCTGGATTCACAACAAATAGACGCTTTTGACTATAAAATAACGTTTAACATTTTTTCTTTGAGAATTGATAATAATTAATCTTTCTATCCCTCAAAATTTATTAAAACTTTATTGTATGTAAATTCAAAATTCAAAAAAAAACGATTAAAAATATATTTTTACTAAAGTTTTGGGGTGCTCGAATTTAATTTATTAAAAATTAAATGCAATTATTAAATAAAAGGTAAGATTGAACATTAATTTTAATTAAATGAAATACTTAATACAATCAGTAGTATATTGTTAAATATAACAAGTAGATTGTAATAAATATCTGTAAGCTAAAAAAATAAAATGTAATTTTAAAATACAAATAGAATTAAAAATATTTTTTTAATATTAAAAAAAACTGTAATGTTCAAATAATTACATCATTCAAACTACATCAATGTATATATATTCTGAATTCTAAATACTAAACTTTACTTAAATGTGAAATTTTAAACAATTAAATTGATATTATGTATAAAATTATTTAATTATTTATAACAACTTGGATAATTAAACAAACATAATATTTTTATTCTGTTTGATCATTTAAAAAATTTACACCAAACATTATTTTTTATTAAACAAAAAAAAATAAAAAACTGCAATAAATTTGATTTTTGTATTAATATTGTTGTTATTTTTTTGTCAAACACATTAGATGATTTTCTAAATACATCAACTTATTATATTTAGTATTTAAAGAATTAAATTCAATCAATACTAAAATAGACAGTTGATTAACTATCA